CAGCAATGTATCCTGTGAAAGCCATCATACTCCATGGAACGGCACTAAACCAAGCAGCTTGTTTGAGGTTCACATGATATACCTGCGACACAATATTCTTATAAATTTCTTAAGAAGACTAAAAAGAACAAAAATTATTTTAAAATTTGTTGGTACTAGGGCCTTACTGAATTGAAGTATATGGGCATCCATGAAAGAATCACAAAGAAACCCTGGAAATAAGTCATTAAGTCAGTTAAATAAATCCCAACAAATAGGAAAACACCTGATCATAAAAGTCACAGCAGTTGGTGTTAACCATTTCCACAAGACATCCTCATAGTAACAAGATTGAAAGAGTTGAATTGAGAGGAATCTTTATACATACCCAGCTATGCATGGAATTTGCAACTATAACAGCCCAAGTCGGCATCTTGGAGAGAAGGCGTCCAAAAGGAGGTATTCCACCTGTGGTGTTTCGTTTGTTCTCCCCAGTAGATGTTTGCTGCTTTTGCTTTATATACTCAAGTTCAGACTTTGTAATCTGAGGATGTCGATCTGGTGCACTTGACGTCGCAGAGAGCCACACGAGCAACCAAAGGAACCCCGATAGCCCAAATATTACAAATGGGCCATATATACCGCCTTGAGACATAAGAATAGGTGACAACATGAGTCCTACAACATTCCCAAGCTGAAACCCCGCCATTGCGATACCAACCGCCCTAGAACGTTCTGTTGAGGGAAACCATCTACATCAAAAGTACCATCACTAAGAACCCAATAAATCTCAGTAACCAGAGTCTGACTCGTTTCAAAACCATGTGTGTGTCTCTATCACATTTGGAAACAATACCGAGAAACAAATATCACTACCTCGCAACCATGTTGTTCATGCAAGGAAGAGCTACTCCTTCAGCAACTCCAACCATAGCTCTTGCAGCAAGAAGTGCCCACAAAGAACTATCAGCAGCCCAAGGGGTAAGGAAAGTTGCCAAGGACCACAAAGCCACACCCCACGCCATGACTACTTTACCTCCATAACGGTCCACCAAAGTTCCACCAGCTATTGGGGAAATTAAGTATCCCCACAGAAACGATGACTACCAAAAGAAACATTCAACAAGTATGAGACAAACGAGAACATTGGTGCAAAGAACAACTGAATACTGAATTTTCCCCAGACAATCTATGAGCATTCTTGGAAAAATCTGGAAAGAATAACCTGAACGATACCGGAAAATGACTTGCTCCATCCACGAGAAAGCGAAAGAGGAACAATCGCGACGGACATCACAACACGATCCGCATTGCATAGCGCCAAGGCAAGCGCAAGCATCGCGACCACTTTCACTCTCTCCGACGTTATAAATTCCGAAAAATTAGGTTGCGCCGTCATCTCCGCCGCCGTCTCTTCCGGCGGACGGCGAGCATCGCTGCAAGATACTCTTAATCGATGACGCGGAATACCACATAAATGGACGGCAGTATTTCCGGTGAATCTCAAGGAGCCTACGCTTCTCCCGGAGCAGAGTAACAACTTTCTCCGGCGATCTCGCTCCGGCAAAGACGGAATCTTCCTCAGTGTAGGTAAGTTCGAAGTCAAGATTGCTCGATCTCCATGGATTTTTAGGAAGCTTCGATTACGGAAGTCTATTGAAGATTGTATAGAGAGAGAGTAACACATTTTCACCAATCGGAGCTGCTTACGATTATTCCGGTAAGTGAAGAAGACGGAGAAGAAGATGCTCGCGCAGTGGTGTCTACGGATTGCAACAGCCAAATCGCATCCGTATCGTCTTTGGCCCACTATTATTTAACAGGCCCATATATTTTGGGCTTCTTAATTAGCATGATTTTTTTTTTTTTGGTTAAACTAGCATGATTATTAAGTAATTAAAAGTATAATGCAAATTTTTTTAAAAAAATAGGGTATTCATTAAAAAAAAACCTTGTTTCTGTCAAAACATTTTATATTTAAAATTACTTTTGAACCAAAATTCTGAGGAGTATTCCATTTTTTTATAATATCTTATTCTCATTATGTCATAGAAAAAATAAAAAATGATTTTCAGTCACTGTATCTGGAGTAAACACGTGGAAGATTCCAATCTTTAGCAGAGATTAGAACAAATTACAGTAAATCTGTATATGTCGACAAAAAGAAAAAGTAATAAATAGTAATATCATAAACACTGTTTGGCTTCGGGACTTACTAATGTTTTTTGAAGAACACAGTCTCCTCTTGGGAACTTGAAGTAGATCCGAATCTCTATGTTAGTCGTGTTGGTCACTTTGATTGTAGTCGTATCCTCGATAGATTCCTTTAAATAGTTAATTCAAAATATTTATTAAACATTGCATACCAAATATTTTCGAATAATTAAACAAAATCACCGAATTATTGAACCAAGATTTCATTGCAGATAAACCTCTTCAATCAATGAAATAGAAAAAGTTGACTTTGACCTATTGATTTGGAAGTGAATCCAAAGAGTTGACACTCGATAGAAACGGCCAAATATTGACGGTGGGTAATGTAACCTTTTATTTATTTGGTAATGTAATTGATTGAAAGTTACTACAAAATGAATTTTTAGGTTCAATCCTTTTCTTCACCTCTTTTTATATTAATTAATTAAAATTTGTCATTTAACAGAAAAAAAAATTAATTTATTTAGTTATAAATTTAAATTTTAATCATTTTTTATAAACTCAAACCGACATATAATCTTGTTTAATTGTAAAATTTAAACTCTAATTCTCATTTATAAACTCAAACCGATATTTAACCACGTTTAATTATAAAATCTAAATTCTAACGTTCTTTATAAATCCAAACCGATATTTAACCTCGTTCAATTGTATATTTAAATCTGTTTATAAAACCAAATAGATATTTAACTTCGTTAAATTATAAAATATAAACACCAACCCTCCCTTATAAACCCAAACCGATATATAATTTCGTTTGGTGACAGATTAGATTTTATAATTAAATGAATTTATTTTATTTTTATTATGTGACATATTCTGATTGGTTCGAAAAAGAGGAATGAAACGATTCACTCAGGAGTGAACCCAAATATTTTTCATACAAAATTAACAAATTTTTCTGTAATTGTTGAAAAAATTAATTAGGTAAAAAATAAACAACACAATTTCTTAGCAACACATTATTTATATATGTAAATCTTACTGTGATGATGATCTGAAAATAAATTCACAAAAAAATAGTTAGGATATCTTATTCGATTTTTATAATGTACCATCTCAGATTAATATAAAATTAGATTATTCTGTTCCGTTATTTTGTATATTATGATTGATTTACTAATCAAAATACTCTAAACTCTTTGTCCTCATTCAGTTTTTATATTCTCATTTTCTTTGTATAGTTGTGATTCATCCGGTAAACATATCCACTTGGGGGTGCACTTGGGGGTGGCTGGAGATCCCCCACCTCACCTTCCTCCAAGCCAACTTACATGTTTCAGCTACGATTCTGCCATCACTCCAATGAGAACTTGTATGGCAACATGACTCTGGTACATTACCGGTTCGGACCCTAAAACCAGAAATGTGCAAGGTTCAGTTCATGTATTTATTCTACTCGTTCTTAATATCTACTTGAGGTTTCTTACACTATGTGTGATTGTTATTGTTAAAAAAATTAATTAGATAAAATATAAACGATACATTTTCTTAGCGACAAGTGCTTGATATACGGTCTTTATACTTTTCATATCATAAACTAAATTGAATTCCAAAAATCTTCGATTTAATAGTTATATTTAAACTAGATTCCTATTAAACCATGAATTTTTAGTATTGATATAAGAGTGTTTCCAAAAATAAAATTTTCTACAAAAATTTTTGTGTAACTTGAGAATATTTTTAATGGATTTGAATCATATATTGGACAAATGATGCCCCGAAAAGAAAAAGAACGTGACCTAGAAAAACAAAAAGATTAATACGAGAGAAAATATTTAACAAATGAAAAATTGAAGAAAATAGTTTAAAGAGGTAAAATTTTCATAATTGACCCAACAAACAACACTATTATCATGATCCTAAAAATAGACTGATCCAACAATATTCCCAGGCTCCGATTGACGAAAGGTTAGTGTTGTAAAGATAATTTTAGGGTTTGTTTGTCAAAATTGGATGTTGCAGGGATAAATCTAAGGTCTAATTATAAAAATTGGATGTTGTAGAGAATGATTCTAAAGTTTGGCTATCAAAATCGGGTGTTGTAGTGATGATTCTTGGGTCCGATATTGAAAATTGGATGTTATAAGAGATGATCGTAAGATTAAAGTATGGAACTAAGACTAAGGCTACAAATGGTTACAAAAATATCAAGTTGAAAGAGTTCAATGTTCATTCAACTAATTTTTCACCATTTGAGATGAAAGAATTGAAAAAAGGTATCAATAATCAACTCATTCAACATAAAAATCTGTAAAATTGAATAAATTCTACAGTAAAAATATTCAACTCATTTAACTATAATTTTGCAGATGAATGGATTGAATGATTTTCAACCCAATATTTTTTAACTTAATATATTCAACCTATTTAACTTAAAACAAGTATTTGTAATCTAAGTTTTCACCTTTTTTCAGGATAATATTGTTTTTTTTTAATATACATATAAGAATATTTATGTAAACAACATTTTCTACGATATTTTGTTACTAACCTTGGAGTATTTTTAATGAATAGTTTGTATCACTTTTTTTTTTCTTCGTCAGCTAATATGCCTCAGATTTTGTACAAATAATACCAAAAAAAAAAAAAAAAGAAGAATGTGACACAAAAAAACAAAAAAAATAATACAGGAGAAAACCACTAAATAAATAGAAAATTAATGAGCCGAAAAAAAAACGAAATTAATGAAAAGGATTTAAGGAAGTGAAATTTCCATATTTGACCCGCTATCATCAATATCCTAAAAGTAAACTACGGACCCATCAACACTCTCACACTCTCTCTCTTAAGTCACCGCCGCACGCAATCAAATCAACGAACTCTTCAGCCATGTCTAACGTCAAACAAACCAACCGGCGTCGTTCTTCCTCCTTATGCCACCGTCACCCTTCCGCTAAACCAACCAGCGGGTTCTGCGCTTCCTGTCTCCGTGAACGTCTCGTCACTATAGAAGCTCAGTCTCCTTCTCCCGCCGCCGTTCAGACTCCAGAGCTTCGTCGTATTCGATCATACTCCGTTCGCAACGCATCAGTCTCCGTTTCAACGCAGCCGCGACGGAGATCGTGTGACGCTAGGTCAAGCGCAAGCTCTCTCCAGGACTTGTTTGTCGATGATGACGAAGAACGGATGGATAGTTCGATTCGGAAGTCTCTGGTTCCGGATTTGAAAGAGGAAGAAGAAGAAGAAGAAGATTACTACGATGGAGAAGATATCAAAGGTTTTGATGGGAAGATTGTCGAAGAAGAAGGCGTAGAGAACAAGACGATGAAGGAGTTTATAGATCTAGATTGGGGAAACCAAATTAAGAAGAACAATGGCAAAGATTTGAAGGAAGTAGTATCGGTTTTGAGTAGGAGATTGAAAATTTTTACACTGAATCATCAGAAGAGAAATGACGAAAAATCGGATTTTAGATTCGCCGGAATTGTGAATGGTCGTCACTCTTGTGATGTAGATCCTAGATTATCTCTTGATGGTGGTAGGATCTCGTTTGAGAAACCTAGGGCTTCGTGGGATGGTTGCTTGATTGAAAAATCATATCATAAGCTGACGACATTGTCTACTGTGACGGAAGATGGTAAAGCTAAATGTGGTGTTGAAGAAGAAGAAGTAGAGGAGGAGAAGAGTCCAGGTGGGACGGTTCAAACGAAGAACTATTACTCGGATTCTCGTCGGAGAAGGAGCTTTGATCGATCGGTTTCGATTAAAAGACAAGGATTACTTGAGGTTGATGAATTGAGAGGTATATCGAATGCTAAGGTATCACCTGAAACTGTTGGTTTGTTTCATGGTGCTAAGTTATTGGTTACAGAGAAGGAACTTCGGGATTCGAATTGGTATTCGATTAAAAATGTGAAACCAGAGAGTAGAGAATTAGTTTCTAAAGGAAAGATTTGTATTGCTGCTGGTGAGGGGAAGAAGCAGGATAGTGTAGAGTTAAAGAAACCTAGAAAGAAATGGCCAAAGGGATGGAACATTTGGGGATTGATACAGAGGAAAAACGAGGCGAAGAACGAGATAAAAACTGAGCAAAGTTTGAAACTTGAAGGAAATGCGGTTGAGGGTTCTTTGGCTGAGTCTCTGTTAAAGCTTAGGAGAGTAGGTAAAGGAGAAACCAATGGTGGTGTTAGTGAGAAGCTTTTGAAAAGCTATAGTGTCAGCGCGAGAAAGTCATGCGATGGTGTGCTTAGTAGTGCTGCCGTAGTCAGTGGCTTTGAAGGTGGAAGAAGCTCTTGTGATGGTCTGTTTCATGGATCTATTAACAGTGTTGAGGCTGGGAGAAGCTCGTGTGACGGATTGGTTAATGGTATTGAGGGTAAACAAAATCATCTTCTCCAGAGAAACGCAAATGTTGGTACGTGCGGCCGAGAAAACCTTGATAATAGTTTGTTTAGATTCTATTTGACTCCGGCAAGGAGCCATAAGACTAGCAAATCCGGGAAGAGTAGGCTGAAGAATTAGTTTGTCTGACATTTGTGTTAACTCATTAATACTCTTTTGTAATTAGCAAATTAGCAACTAATGTATTTGTTACTTCGGTCTATAGATAAGTGCACTAAGATTCTATTGCAATCGTGTTCATTCTGTTAAGATTCGGTATATCAACATCAACACCAATATTTGTTTTCCTTCTCATATCTTTTCCTCATAAAAGCACATCAACAATACATTGTTTTCTCACGGTTTGCTTATACAAATACGACATTGCGTGTAATATATGTCATAACATACTTCCCCGACGTTTCAGTCCATCAATTAGACCTGTGAAGTTACACCGGTTTTGAAGTGAGACCGAAACCAAAAGGGAACAATGGGTCATACGAATTGGCATGAGCATCTAGTGGCAAATGCTCAACGCGTTTGAACCAGCTCACTGGTAACTTACCCTGGAAGTCATAATCTCCAAAAATAACGTCAGCCATCCCTTGCCCTTCTGTTCCAGGCAGCCAAGCAGCGACCAGAGCCTCTGTCTTTTCAAGAACCGTCGGCTCGAGAACCACAGGTCGTCCTGAGATCAAGATCACCAGAGTCGGGATTATCCCTGCGACTGCGGTGACAATGTCGCTACCATTAAAAGGTATTATGAGTTCCGAGTTATCCCCCATTGTCTCTGCATAGGGCGGTTCCCCGACTACAACAACGGCGTAAGAGAATCCTTCACTTGAGGCTAAGGTTTCCTTTGATGGAGTTTTCTCATAGATTACTTCCGTTTTGTCTCCAACTGATTCTTTTATGGCGTCTAATAGCGTAGTGCCTACATTTTCAATCAAAAATAGATTCATACTGATTAACTTTTCAACAGCATCTAAGATTCATACTGATAAACTATTTTCAGTCAAAAATAGCCTCTGCTAAATAAGAGCCCTTTCCAAACCAAATAGCAATCGCTTTAATTACCGATTGTGATCCTGCCGCTTAGACCGAACCATGTCTTTGTCCATCCTCCGCACTGATATCCAAGATCATCTGCGTGACTTCCAGTGACTAGAATCCTCTTGGCGTTGCGATCTAGTGGCAGAAACGGTTTATCAGCATTTTTGCCATTCTTTAGTAGAACTAACGACTTTCTAACTGCTTCCTGAGCCAATTCTCTATGTTCCTGCACAAGGAAAAATCTTAGACTAGGGGCAGTACTCTGGTCGAATGGCATTCAGTAAAAGCGAGCTCACCTTGCAACCAACAGTAGGCAACAAAGATCGATCTGTGAGAGGATATTCGAAGAGACCAGCGACAAATTTCACTCTGAGTATTCTTTCAACAGCATCATTGACCCGAGCCATGGATATTTCCCCTGACTCTACCAGATCTGTCATGTCATGTATGAACTGTTCGTACTTGAATGGTACCATAACCTGCAATAACACTGATTATATAATCTTCGCTCCTTCAATCATCCGAGATGATGGAAATCATTTGCTAAGCTGAAATATTTCGTGTACGGGTTTCAGACTCTACCATGTCAATGCCAGCATTAACCGCAGTTTTAATGCAGTAGCGGTAGTTTGATCCCTGAGGCTCACTAAGCCGGTCCAAACCTTCCCAGTCTGAGACTAGAAATCCCTAGTAACATAAACAAGAAAACTAGCTTAAAGCATACACGACTAGCTTATTTCTACTTGTCATTGGTTCTATTCAATCAAATTTACACGAACCTTGAAACCAAGTTTTTCCTTGAGAACTTCTGTCAAGAGAAAACGGTCAGCGTGGAGTCTAGTTCCATTCCAACTGGAGTAAGACGCCATAACCGTGGAAACTCCCTGAGCAAGACACTTCAGATATGGAGGAATATGTATCTTCTCTAAGTCTTCATATGACGCTATGGTGTTCCCTTCGTTTACGCCCTTGTCGGTACCACCATCTCCAACAAAGTGTTTGACACAGGCGACGACATTGTTTCTATAACCCCAATGAACAAATCCATGAGAAATGACATCAAACCTATTAAAGAACCCAAATCAAGCTACAATATAGTGATTTATTATCTACCTTCCTGCAACAAAAGGATAACCATTTAGGTGTTCTTCTGGTGGCACGCCTTGTAAGCCCGAGACAAGCGAAGTCATCTCACAGACAAGTCCAGGATCTTCTCCATAACTCTCATAGCATCGCCCCCATCTCGGATCTCTCAAGACCTGTCAGTATCAGTAAGACAAAAAGAAAAACTTCCCATTATGTTCAACTTCAGTTCTTAGATTTACGTCTATAAGGGACTTACTGCGACGCAGGGAGCAAACGCCCAGTGAACACCGCTCGCCCGAACTTCAAGTGCTGTTGCAGCTCCAATTCTTCTGACCAAATCTGCATCTCTACAGAATTACCACAAGAACTACCAGTGTTATTACATTAATAGTAGCCAAACACATTATGGTTGAAATAGATGCACTGATCTTAAACATAATCAGATTCTAATAACAGCTACTGCAATACTACTATTACCATCAGATAGACAGAAACAGAACAAACCAACCAAGACCAATACCATTACAGAGCATAATCCAAAACTACGACTTAATTGTCAAATTTAAAAGCTTTAAGACCACAATTTGTAATTAGCTTAAGGTAATCGAGGATAAACCTGGTGGCGCCAAGGCCAATGTTGTGGGGGAAGACGGTGGCGCCGTAGACATTGTTGTTCCCGTGGACAGCGTCAGTACCGTAAATTATCGGAATTCCCAAACGCGACGCTAACGCTGATCGCTGAAAACCATCGATCATATCAGCCCAATCCGACGACTTGGCATCCTCAAACGGCACACTTCCTCCGGCGTTTAGTACACTTCCTGAAAACACCAAATCCATAAAAACAAATTACTAATTTTAGTAAATTACAAATACATTTACAAATGGAAAGTTCAAAAAAGAAGATGAAGAAATGATGTGATTACCGATGAAGAAATCTGTAAAGGCGGCGTGAGAAGCGACTCTGCGTTCGATTTGAGTCATCTGACCGATCTTCTCCGGCAAAGTCATGCGAGAGAGAAGGTCCTTTACACGCGCCTCCACTGGCGCGTCTCCGTTCTTGTAAACGCATGATGACTCTTCCTTGACTACCATTTTCTTTACTCTTCTTCTTCGTTGTAGTTGTTGTGCCACTTCTCTTTATCTTTAACAAGAGGAGACGTGGTGGCATATTGATTTCGACAGTCCACCCAAAATGCTTAATTAATTGCTTATATAAAAATTTATCCATTTGATTAACTTATTAATTTATTCTCGATTACCATTATCACCGGTTAACTTCATACTTAGTGATAATCGCACATTTTTAATACAAGTTAACCGGTGAAGTTAAACCAGTTAACCGGAATTGGAAGTAAGACCGAAACCAAGAGGAAACAATGGGTCATAAGAATCGGCATCAGCGTTTAGCGGCAACTGGTCTACGCGTTTGAACCAGCTCACTGGTAACTTCCCTTTGAATTCATAATCTCCGAAAATGACGTCAGCAATCCCTTGCCCTTCAGTTCCAGGGAACCAAGCAGCGACCAAAGCCTCGGTCTTTTCAAGAACCGTTGGCTCCAAAACCATAGGCCGTCCGGAGAACAAGATCACTAGAGTCGGGATTTTCTCTGCAACCGCGGTTATAATGTTGTTACCGTTGAAAGGTATTGTGAGTTCCGAGTTATCGCCTTTCATCTCTGCGTAGGGAGGTTCCCCCACTACAACGATAGCGTAGGAGAAGCCTTCATTCGAGGCTAAGGTTTCTTTTGTTGGAGTTTTCTCGTAGATCACTTCGGTTTTGTCTCCAACTGCTGCTTTTATGGCATCCAAAATTGTCGTGCCTGCATTTCAAAACAAAAACATATATAAGTATCCACATCAAGTTTTTCGATATCTTCTAATAGCGTTTACGATTGGAATTCGATTTAACTACCAATTGTGATTCTGCCGCTTTGACCGGATTTTATCTTTGTCCATCCTCCACACTGATTTCCAAGATCGTTTGCATGCATTCCAACCACTAGAATCCTCTTCGCATTACGGTCTAGTGGCAGAAATGGTGTATCAGTATCTTTACCATTCTTCAGCAAAACTAACGACTTTCTAACCGCTTCACGTGCTACTTCTCTATGTTCCTGCAGTTGGGGAAAACAGAGTCAATCATGATCTCATACATCTTACAATAGTGGCGGCAACTATCAATACCTCACCTTGCAGCCAACAGTTCTCAACAAAGATCGGTCCGCGAGAGGATGTTCAAAGAGACCAGCAACAAACTTCACTCTAAGTATTCTTTCAACAGCATCATTGACCCGAGCCATCGGTATTTCCCCTGACTCAACCAGATCTGTTATGTCTTGTATAAACTGTTCGTACTTGAAAGGTACCATCACCTGCAATAACATTGATTAACAATCTTCGTCTCCTATAATCATTTGAGACAAATGAAAATCATTCATTACCATGTCGATTCCAGCATTAATCCCGAGTTTGATGCAGTTACGGTAGTTTGAACCTTCTGGCTCGCTAATCGTCTCCAAACCATCCCAGTCTGAAACTAGAAATCCCTGGTAACATAAAAGAACAAAGTAAATTAAACGAGCTCCATGCATACACCTGTAGCTTATATAGATTCTTTTTTTCATATTCAATCAACCTTGAAACCGAGTTTCTGTTTGAGAACTTCCGTCAAGAGGAAATAGTCGGAGTGGAGTCTACTTCCATTCCAACTGGAAAAAGATGCCATAACGGTAGACACTCCCTGAGCAATACAATTCAGATAGGGAGCAACATGAATTTTCTCCAAGTCTTCATATGATGCTATGGTGTTCCCCTCGCTTAAGCCCTTATCGGTACCACCATCTCCAACAAAGTGTTTAGCACACGCGACCACGTTGTTTCTATCACCAAGTGAACAAATCCATGAGAAATGACAACAAGCCTATCATAGTCTAATGCATTATATGTTTATATATAGTATATACCTTCCTGCAAGAAAAGGGTAACCGTTAGGGTGTTCTTCGGGTGGCTCGCCTTGTAGGCCCGAGATAAGTGAAGTCATCTCACATACAATTTTAGGATCTTCACCATAACTCTCATAGCATCGTCCCCACCTTGGATCTCCCAAAACCTGTGAGTAACAACTACATTTCATTCAATAGTCCACAAAACATTTTTCCTATATCTTAACAATCTCTCTAAAGGGACTTACGGCCACGCATGGAGCAAACGTCCAGTGAACGCCACTAGCCCTTACTTCAAGTGCTGTTGCAGCACCAATTCTTCTGACTAAATCGGCGTCTCTATCGAGTTACCACACAAAACTACGATTGTTATCACATCAACAACACGGTAGAGGAACAGATCTTAAACACAATCAGATTCTAATCATAGCTACTACTACTACTACTGTGTGATCAAAAGCTAATTGAATCAAATTTACAGAAACTCCACTAGAATATCAAATTCTTGTGGAAAAAGAACTAAAAAACTCTAATTTGACTGAAACTTAACAAAAAAGATTCAAACTTATCAAATTCAAAAGCTTTAAAACGTCTTAAACATAGCAAAAAAAAAAAATCAAACTTTTTATCAAATTCAAAAGAACCCCATCTCTTTTGCGAAAATTAAAGTTTGCTCAAAGTTAATCGAACCTGGTAGCTCCGAGACCAATGTTGTGGGGGAAGACAGTGGCGCCGTAGACGTTGTTGTTGCCATGAACGGCGTCAGTGCCGTATATTATTGGAATTCCCAAACGCGACGCTAACGCTGAACGCTGAAAACCGTCAATCATATCAGCCCAATCCGATGATTTGGCGTTCTCGAACGGCCAACTTCCGGCGCCGCTCTGTACACTGCCTGTAAAACAAAAAAGTTGTGATTTTTATTTTTTCTAAGGAAAGTAGAAAAAGTTTGGTTCGTTGACCAAAACAAAGACAAAAATGTTCAGTGGTTAGTGTATATTACCGATGAAAGAATGTGTAATGACTTGAGGAGAAGCGACGGAGCGTTCTATCTGAGTCATCTGACCAATCTTCTCCGGCAAAGTCATGCGAGAGAGAAGGTCCTTCACACGCGCCTCCACTGGCGCGTCACGGTTCTTGTAAACGCATGAAGAATCATCAGTCTCTGGCATACTCTTCTTTGTCTTTTTCCTAACCAAACCTAGTCACTCCACTTCTCTTTATCTAACCAAGGCCGAGGACACGTCACAACTCACAAAGAGTCTTTTTTTTTTTTTTTTTTTTTTTTTTTTTTTTTTTTTTTTTTTTTTTTTTTTTTTCTCACAAAGAGTCTTTTTTTTGGGCTTGCGTTTATTTCCAATTTTTGTCGTCTTATTATAAACCTCGTAGGCCTCTAAAATAAAATCTTACGACTCTCTGTCTCTCTCTGTCTAAAACTCTTAAAAATCTACAAAAAAAACATTCGCTGTCGATTTTGGGATTTCTAGGGCTTAGCGACGCCATGGGAAAACGCCTGAAGCAAGTCACCCACCGAATCAACTCCCGAAGAGAAAACTCGAAGGAGATACCAATTGATCTCTTGATTGACATCTTCTCAAGATTGTCCATGGCAGACATTGCTAGGTGTCGTTGCGTGTCGAAGCTCTGGTCTTCCGTACCGCGTCTTCGATATTTCACTCAACTATTCCTGAAAATATCTTCGGCTCGGCCGCGTATATTATTCACCTTCCTACATAACGGTAAGCGGATCTTCTACTCCATATCTCAGCATCTACATTCAGAGCCGAGTCCGCTTCCTTTCGTTCCCTATTATCATATGTCTTTCCCCGAAGGTAAGGGTTCTTCCTATGACTATGAGATTCTTGCTCCTGTACGAGGGTTTCTTTGTAGCAAAGCTAAGCCGATGATCTATAACCCTAGCACAGGAGAGTGCAAAACTTTACCCAGAGCAATGACGAAGAGGACTGAGATGAAAACATATTTTGGGTATGATCCTATTGACAAACTATTCAAGGTGTTGTGCGTGTCCAAGGTATTGTTGGCGTCCGAGGATTTTGCATGTCGAGTTTCAACATTAGGAACAGGAGAAGTGTACTGGAGAATGATCGAATGTTCGATACCCCATAGGCCTTTACGTGCTGAGATATGCATCGATGGAGTTTTGTATTATGTAGCTGAGTGCATTGGAAATAAAATTCCAGAACGTTATATGGTAGTTTGCTTTGATGTTAGGTCTGAAAAGTTCAAGTTTCTAGCTGTAGAACTTATATTTTGGTGTTCAACTCTGATAAATTGCAAAGGTAAATTGGGCGTACTATGGTCAGTGCCCTTTGGTCTTACTCATGAACTCACAAAATATTTTGTGTTGTGGATTCTCGAAGATGCCAGTGAACTGAGATGGTCGAAGACTATCTACACATTGCCGTTTTATTGGAAGAATCTAGTTGCGAATAACTCCCTATACATTGTCGGGATGACTAGTGCAGGTGAAATTGTGTTATCGTCATGCTATCTAAACTATCCTTTCTACATTGTCTACTACAATGTAGTGAAAAAGACTGCGGCAAAAATTGAAATCCAGTTTGGGAATATCGCTAAGAAGGCTAAAAGCTCAAGGATCTATACATTTATCGACCATGTAGAGAATGTGGAGCGTATGGAGTAAGACATAAGGATCAATAATATTGGAGTAAGGTATATATATTTTAAACTTTTCTTCTCATCAACAACTAACTTTTGTGTCTTTCTGAATTCTATTATGTAAGTCATACATAATATAATTAAACATAGAATTTGATCCATGGCTTGTTAAACCGGTCTTATCCATTATCCAACCTCGTCAGCATAGAATCTAGATTCTCTAAACGAGAGGGCACATGTTATTTCAGCAAAAACATACAGAACTTCGATCTTCCACACTGAAACAACGCATGTAACAATGAATAAATGATGATTCTCACAATCAAACAGTTGTAGTGTACGAGATGTCAAATCAACTGTCTAACAAAGCTTCCTCTATAGAAACCAATAAATTCGAATTTTATATTTTCAAAATTTTCACAAATCAAGCTACTAGAGTACTAGTAAACACTTAAGTCCCAGAAAATCGGATTTCAACTTTGGATCAGTTTCATTTTCTTTCTAGTTTCTACTTATTGCAAAGAAAAAATAACGAAAACAGGAAATTTGTACAACAGTTTCTTGTCGAACAAGAAAACAAGATAACGACAAAAACATCACTCCATATATTGCTGTGGACTATATAATCTTAGAAATTTACAAACGCCACTCATACTCCATCATGTCAAAAATCACACTTCCAATAATTTCATCGGAGTTCTTACTGGAATTGTAGTTCAGACCGAAACCAAGAGGATACTCAGCGGTTAGCGGCAACTGGTCAACGCAATTAAACCAACTCATTGGTAACTTCCACTGGAAGTCATACAAATGGGTTCTCAGAATTGTTTTCTCCTAGCATTCTATCTGATCCTTTTTTCATTGTCTACTCCAATTTGGAGAGGATACTCGATCACAAGTGTTAAAGTCCAAGAGACAGGACATGCTTTAAGGGTCAAAACATCTCCAATTATTTATGTCATAGTGCATAAAAATAATAAAATTCTATTAACTATAATAGCATCATCCCAATTCTATATCTCGATTAATTTATAAATCAGATTTATATGTTTAAAATATAAGATACAAACACAATTCATTCATAATTTTTTAATGTAATTAAAATACAAACAATCTAATTTGTATATTAGATTAACAATTTAACTATAGACTCACATCATCAAAAACACCACCTCCTTTCGATAACACGAGTTAGAACCTACTAAACACCACTCTCAGAAAAGTGTTGTCTAGGATATCTTTCACGTGAATTAAAATTTTTTGGTTAAATTTACAAAATTGTCTCTACTCTCTATTCAATAAACTACCAATTATAATATACTCCCTCCGTTTTCGAATAGTTGTCGTTTTAACTATATGCACACAAATTAAGAAACTATTAATGTCGTTAGTTTTTTAATATAAAAATATCATTAATTATATACCTAAACATAATTTAACCAATAGTAAATCAAGTTGCATAATAAAAATAAATAGAAAAAATAAAAAAGTAATAAATTTTGTATCGAAAACTGAAAACGACAACTAATTAAAAACAAAAAAAAATCTCTAAAACGACAACTATTCGAAAACGGAGGGAGTAATAAATTAAAACTTTAAAAGATATATTTAACTACATGTAGTCAAATTTGACTATTTGTCAAATTATTTATTTAGTAATACAGTATATCATAAAAATGTAAATCGTTTTTTGAAAGAAAAAACAAACTTTTTTAAGAGAATATATATTTTTTTTAAACGGCGAAAGCATAAATGCATCTCTCATTTCATTTTATCCAAATTAGTATTGTAGCGCAGAAATATATGGTCAATATACTATACACATTTAAACGAAACTATTTTTTTGGTAGATTGATGAATCAATATACACTTGAATGAACCTGAAAATTATCAAAAAAGTGGAAAGTTAATTGCCAAATCACAAATGTAGGCCAACTCTTAAACCACGTGTTCATTAATAAATAGATAAAAAAAAAATCAAACTCTCTCTGTCCACATCTCCTTAAAACAAAACACAAGTCAGATGTTTGGGATTCTAGGGTTAAGCGCCGCCATGGGAAAACGGCAGAAGCAGCAAGTCACCGGCCGCCCAAGCAACTCCCCAAGAGAAAACTCGAAGGAGATGCCAATTGATCTCTTTATTGAAATCTTCACAAGATTACCATTGGAAGACGTTGCGAGGTGTCGTTGCGTGTCGAAGCTTTGGTCTTCCATACTACGTCGTCGAGATTTCACCCAACTGTTCCTCAAAATCTCATCGACTCGGCCTCGTATATTATTCACCTTCCTTTACAAAGGTAGGCGAATCTTTTACTCCACACCTCAAGATCTAGATCCAGACCGCAACAACAACTCCTCTCCTATAATTCCCTATTACCAGATGCATTTCCCTAAAGGTTTGGCTTCTTCCGACAAGGTTTGTCCCCCTATACTTGGCTTGATCTGTAACAAATCTAAGAAGCCGTTGATCTGCAACCCTAGCACAGGAGAGTACATGTCTTTACCCAAAGCGAGGAATGAAATGAGTCCCTTTTTTGGGTATGATCCTATCGACAAACTATTCAAGGTATTGTCCCTCTCCGATGATTTTGTGTTTCAAGTTTCAACATTAGGAACGTCTGGAGAAGAAATGACCTGGAGAATGGTCGAATGTCCGGTACCTCATTACCCTTTAAGTGCTGAGATTTGCATTGATGGGGTATTGTATTATTTAGCTAAGGTCAGGGGAAATATATCTACACTACCTTTTATGGTAGTTTGCTTTGATTTTAGATTGGAGAGATTCAAGTTTCTAGATTTGGTGTTAATAACTGTGAGTTCAGCTCTCATAAATTATAATGGTAAACTCGGCATACTATCGGCAAGTTCGTATCGTGTTGATTACAACACAGAAGCTATTGAGCTGCGGGTTCTAGAGGATGCTGATGAAGTGAAATGGTCAAAGACTGTCTACAAATTTCCATATTATTGGAAGGATCTAGCTGAGAATACCTACCTATACATTGTCGGGATGACTACTACAGGTGAAATTGTTTTGTCGACATGCTATGTTCATAATCCTTTCTACATCTTCTACTACAATACAGTGAAGAACTCTGTGGTAAGAGTTAGAATCGATTTCGGAATTAAACCTTTGAGGGCTCTTAACTGCTCAAAGATTTCGACATTCGTAAACCATGTGGAGAATGTAAAGCTTATGGATTAGGGCTTTATAGCATAGCTAATGTAGCTTGCCTTCTAAGGTCGCATCCATCTTGTTCCCTTATTGTTTGAATGTTCTATGTATTGATGTTTGTTGTAAGCTATGTTTTAGCTATTTGAACTTTTCTTGTTGTATAAGCAAATTTGAACTTTTATCTTCTTGAACAACCAACTTTATCTTTGTGAATTTTACTGTTAGGTTTAAGCTAGATTCTTTGAAAGAGAGGGCACACATGCTATTTCAACAAAAACGTATAAGAATTAATTAATGAGGTGTGAACAAAGATAAATTTATGAGGATTCTAATCATTCATTTCTTCTCACCATCAAAGATTTGATAATGATTTTTGTTTTGTTTAAGGGGATTAACAAAAGAGGCACATAC